CAGCTGTTTGTGAACAAAGTTTCCTCCCCAGCTGGTAATGAAACTCTTTCCGGACTTGTCGATGTGTTAATCCTCGGAAGCGTGAGAAATACTCTACTTGTTCACGGGTAACAAGAGCACCGCCCGAGCTGGTTCCCAGATCCACTGGAATGGCATACTGCCCGATGTCTGCATGGCGACGGAAGCTGCCTGCGCGATCGAAAAACCCATACACAGCTCGAGTCGACCCGGCAGAATCCTTCGCTTCTCCAAGCCTGATGTATTTGTAGGTCATGTCAGCGGCCATCTTTGGCGCAGACGCTGTATCAGTTCTTCGACGACGTGTCAGTACAGGGCCCAGCTTCGTCGATGCTGCTTGGTCTCGACGGGGTAGCCGACTTCTTTCCGTTCTTCTTCAAGTCGTGTGGGTCGGCCAGCAAGTGTCCTTTACTACTCTTGTTAGTTATGTAGATACGTCGCAAGGCGCTGCAAACCTTTGAAGGTGCCTATATAGACTACATCATCGTCGTTCGATTCCTTAGGTGACTGTTGTCCAAAGCCCGACGTAGTTGCTGCGGTGTGCTCAACCATATTGCATGGCCTTCGCGCCTTGTGCATGATGAACTTGACAGGCCGCAAGGGCAAAGAGGGCAACAGCCACCGGAAATCGGAAGGGTGACTAGGTGTTTTGATTGAGTTCTAATTTGCGGGGCCGATGCGGGTTCTCGCCCTTCTTCATTGGACCAGCGATAGATAGAGTAGGTACACAGACACAAGTGGAGCCCATCGGTTCTCTGTTGTTCTCTCTCTCCTCCAGATTTACTCCTAGCTTTTGCTCGAGGCATCTCAATCACTTCGGACCCCTGCTGAGTATCCAATCCAGAACTGGAGCCAGCGAAATCACTCTCTCAAACTCGGTCTTCTAGACCCACGATACGTCTATGATGTACCTTCAGTCCAGCAAGCCATGGGTGTACTACGATTCTGGAATGCTTATGGAGACAGGAAACAGAATCGAGGTACTTGGCGGAAGTACTAGCGATTCCAGAATTGGATCTGTTCTGGAATCGAATCTGTTCTGGAATCGAGGCCTGGCGGAAGTACTAGCGATTCTAGAATTGGATCTTCTGGAATCGGGGTACCTGGCGGAAGTACTAGCGATTCCAGAATTGGATCTGTTCTGGAATCGAATCTGTTCTGGAATCGAGGTACTCGGGCTGCAGAAACACGAATCTGCTTTTTACCTTTGAAAGTGTATTAAGAAGTTTCGGGAAGATTCTGGAATACCTGCAGCTTTGAGGAAACAGATCCAGTTCACCGTTTGCAATCCCTGCAGCGGAGAGACTCAGAGGGATGACCTTCATTCAAGGTATTTTTGGAACCGGGCTGCGAAGTACGTACAACGAGATTCTTGCAGATTCGCGTACGCGCAAAGGAAAGGGACATGACGAAAGTACAGAACCGTTGCCACAGCTTGATAGCATGCGACCCGCTTCTATGAACACACCCTGCCAACAATGGTCTAGTCTGTTTCAAAACAGTAGTCTCACTCAGGGTTATTATCAAAATCAACAAGCAGATTCCAGTCTCCGGAAACCCCAAAGCCATCCTTGGAAAGCCAAAATTTGCGGCCTTCTTTCACATCGGAGAAAAGCGGAAAGGCGGGCGGCTAGTGAAACATTTCCTGCGATGTCGACGACTTTGGTGCGTCCGTACATGTTCCAGGGCAACCCTGCCGACAGTTTCGATTGGCTAGCTGCGGATTGTCTCACGGCTCCCTTGCGTACCCCTCCCAGCCACCCTGAAGCTGACTACTGCTGGTTTCAAGTTCGGGGAATTCTCTACGTTGCAGATGTCACGGCGGCTCCTTCTAACGCAGCGCATGTTTGCCAACGAATCCGCAGTCATCCAGAGCTTGGTCCGCCACCAAGTCCCGAATGCCGCGGCCCTTTGGTACGACGGCCGGCGGGCAGCTCCCATTGATTGAGTAGTTTGCGCAGGTAATGCTTTCTCAAGGCAGGACCCGTGGGCCATCGTTCCTGACGATGAGGTGCTCGACCCAAATACCGTTCAAGAGCGTAAGCGCAGAGGAAAGCGCAGCATGAGTCCTCCCAGTATGGTCCCAGCTGGTTGATGTGAGTGAAAACATGACACTCCAAGAATGACCTGAGCGATACCTACTTAGTGAGATCTTTTGTCCAGTTGGATGACAGCGCCGCGAAGTTCCGAGACATATTCATCGATCCTTACGCTCCATCGAGAAAAAGCAGTTGGTTGCATTCCAAAGCCGTCGAATGTCTCTGTTTTCCAGTTGACAATTGCGAGTACCCAATGATTTCTATTGTAATCTGACATTTGATCTGCCGCGTTGACGTTGATTGGCAGTACCACACCGTCAAACCCTTTGGCGAACGCAGAGGCTCCCGAGGGCAAGAACGGCTCCGAGAACCGCACAAGCAATGGGTCTATGGTGTGAAGTGTAGAAGTGCCACAAACTGATTGAAGAATGGCAAGAAGAAGAACGTCATCAACATACCGTCCTGGACAAAATTGATCCAGCCTTTGTCTGAAATGAGCTTGGTCGCGACATGACAGCCAACCAACGTGGACATGCTCGACTGCTTTATCAATCAATTTCACGATGGACCTCGAGAAAGACCCATGGCTGGTTCTTGGTTCGGCGGCAGGGTCGGGGTTGTGATCGGGGCCGACGTCGATAAAAGACGCTGCATTCGGTTCGGCCCCATACCTGGGGCTGTGCTCTATTGTTAAATCAACGAAACACACATTACGGGATGCAGGGTCGGCTCGGCATCCTCTGACAGTGGCACGATCGACTCCAGTCAGACTTGTATTGGTCTCTGCGAGCGATGTCGAATTCAGAGGTGCACTAAACGCTTCTTCCCTGCAGGTGACGATGGAGGAACTAGACGGTAGGCAAACGGACAGGACGCATGCTTGCGCCTCAACAAGCTTGCCAGCGTTGGGACCTAGAGAAGAATTTTGGGTCGATGAGGGTTCATAGACTGGACTGACGCTCGACAATCGACCAGGCTGACTGATGCAGTGGAGATGTCGCCGAACGGTTTCGTCAAGAAACTTGACCTCGCTTTCGACTCTGGATAGGGAGCAAAAAATAGTGTTTTGTAGTGGGGAATCCGACAGAAGCGAGCGGTCATTTGACGAGTGCTGCAAGAAATCCAGGATTGCCTGAACTCGCTTGAGAAGGACGGGAAGCATATCCAAACCGTCTTTCAGCTCGTCGCATTCCTTCTTTAACGGCATGGCTACGGTGGTTTTGCAAACCACAAGCGTTCCGCACAGGGAGTAGGCACGAATTTTCGTACATAAACGGGAAGGGTCTGATGCCGCCTCTGGAAGACAGAGACAATAAATAGAAGGCTGAGTGCAGATCAACCTCTATGCCAGTGATGGCTCACTCGTTCCCTTGTCTGCCTGATTCCTCACGGCGCTTAGGTTCATCCAATCACAGAGACTTCAGCCTGCCTGCTAAGCGCCGCCGATTGGTCGATGGTGCCGTATTGGTATCCCTCAAGGAAGACATGCTGCTTTGTGTTGCTATTTCCGTCGTTTTGACCCCTTAATGCCTAAGGCAAACATTTGTCAAAAAAGCACCGGACTTCGAGTATTCGTATTGGAAAATGTTAAGAACGGCAGTGATGGTGGTGATACTGGTCAACATGGTTATTGTATCCCTCAAAGCGCAGCCCCAGACTGTCATCCCCCAAAGGCATCCCTCAAATGCATCCCCCAAAGCGCAGCCCCCAAATGCATCCCCTAAAGGCATCCCCCAAAGGCATCCCTCAAATGCATCCCCTAAAGCGCATCCCTCAAATGCATCCCCTAAAGCGCAGCCCCCAAATGCATCCCCTAAAGCGCAGCCCCTAAAGGCATCCCCCAAAGGCATCCCCCAAAGGCATCCCCCAAAGGCATCCCCCAAAGGCATCCCCCAAAGGCATCCCCCAAAGGCATCCCCCAAAGGCATCCCCCAAAGGCATTCCCTAATGTGCATCGCTTCAAACCATCTGATGAATTGTGATTCTCTATGGCAGTCATGTCGACAACGTGTTTCAGCTCAGCGCGTCGTGCAGCTAAGTCTCCAAGCAGAAGCTGGCACCGCTCGTAAACGTACGGAAACGCATCCCTCTTAACTAGCTTGGGGCTTTGTGTATGTTTACGCAAGAGTCCTCCGGAGTAGTGTCCTTAGGCTTCCGAGCCTGTTCGCCGTTGTCAATGGACGTCCTGGGCATGTCCTGGTCTAGGCTTAATTGTAATAATGTGAAGGCCGAAAATAGGTGACTCGATCCAAAAGCAAAGCTGGAGGCCATCGCGACTAAACCATCGCTGACGGCCCCACCTTGCCACCGATAGCACTCAAGGCCTATGACGGCATGCTCAGTACGAGAAGCACAATACTGTGTACATACTATCTCTTCTTCTCCATGCATTTCCAAATTGTGGAAAGCTGCAATGTGTTCAACAGGCCTCTACAAACGTCTAGTAATGGCTGGGTCCTTCAATTTACATTGAAAACGAGGAGACAGGATGACATACAATAGCGGGACTAGCGAGCTGCCTTGCGGCCTACCCCAAGGAATCCACCTTCGGCTCCGGATTGCAGGCTCCGATACAGCTAACTATGTGGCGGTCTGTATATGGTGCCAAAGAATTACTGTACGTCAACAGCACAACTTACTCCTACCACCTGAACCGTACTTTAGAGTTATTGAGCTCGAGGACCAGGAGGGGTAGACGGAGTACTCGATACACAATGAACACTTGTACATACCATCTGAGACGTTAGCACGCACTCCAAGGGTTTACTCGGTCATCGGCCACTTTCCGTCTTGCACCGAATTCGATTAGCGGATAATGATTCTATTCCCATGATAGCCAAAGAAGAAAACGATCGTTTTGGTTCGGGCGAACCATCAATAACTCCAGGCACTTCCTTAGAGGCCTCATCAGCGGAGAAAGCAAGGAGGTATCAGGAATTGACGCTAGGGTGATGTTGCGATCAAGGGAGAAAGTGATTTCTCAGCTGCACTTCCAAGCGCTATCTTTAATTGGCTCTTCATCCCGTTTAGCCTCCCTTTTCTATCCCATCGGGTGCGGATGGACAGCACTTTCGCCAAGGGCGGGGTAGAGCCAATAAGAGCTTGTAAATCTATAAAGTGAACCAATAGGGATGCAGGACCTCTGTTTCCTACAGATTTTGGGTATGCCAGAGGTACCAGCAATCTTTATTAATACATAATGGTACATTGCAATCCAAGCAACCCTTTCGAGTTGTCTGCCGTCGTTGCCGAGTGATGGTATTCCCAGATATCTCCTTTAAAACCTTCCTACTACCACAATAGGTGCAAGGTGAAGATACCTTCCTTGATCCCTTCCTATGCTGTTCCCATGGAATAGAAGTATTCCTCTTGTCTGTAGCCCGTCCAGGCCGTGATAGTCTTCGCCCGCCTGCCAATGGTCCAAACCGTTGAATAAGCTGGGCAGCCAGCAACTGCCGCCATTGGTAGTGGGTTTTCACCTTTTTCCACCTAGGGCTGCCCCAGAGCTGCAGTAGGAAGCTATTCACAACTACCACTTCCAGTAGGAAATTCCAGGCAATCGACTGCCAGCCCCCTCGACGAACAGGGTGGTTATACTGATAATAGGACCTCATCTGGTCACTCACGTCAACCCCATTCATCTTGTGATTATACTCATCAATCGCCCTAGGGACTGGAAGGTCTTTGCGGACATCCGGGCCGAAGACTTGCCGGGCGGCCTTCTTAGCAGCGGTGTCCCCAGCCGGGCGACGGCGGCTGCGGATAACTTCCTGCCCGTCCTGGAAGACAGTTGACAGGAAGAGTACGAGGGCATTATCCTTCCATGTGAATTGGTTGACCTGTTTCCTAGTCAGCTGGGTTCGGCGGGGCTGAGCGGGCTGGCAGCCTACCTCCCCATCTAAAGTAGGGATACAGTGTATATCCCCCCATGGGATACCCCGTCCTTCAGTCTCTTTCTCAGCAACGAGGATCTTGTCTATCCCACTATCCTTCCGGCAAGTACCAGAAGCTCCAACCTGTTGCTTCCGTAGGGTACGAAAGAGACGTATAGAGGCGAAGAGGTTGTCAAGAAATACGTGGTAGGTTGCAGCTGGCAGTAGGGAAACAAGCGTAGTTACTACCCGCTGCGTTGGTGTCAACAGAGCCAGCTTTCCAGCAGCTGCCCCGGCTGGCCGGGCCTGGGGGACTAATGCGTATGGGCCCTTTCCATGTACGTGCCACAGCCACCGTATACAGCAGCCAGACTGGGCAAGGATCCAGATCTTATAGCCAGTTGGGATAGGTTTTGTTGGGATCGTTGTCGTCTCAAGAGATCGACCAGTAAATCGGACCATAGCCTCGTCAACTGTGAGGTCGGAACCAGGTTCATAAAGGGAATCCCCAGTCTCTTGGATGTGAGCTGACCACTGGTTGACCTTCCGGTATACATCTGGCATTTGATCTTGGGTCTGGCCCCGGCCCCGGCTGGGCTGTGGGCGCTTCTCAGGCTGGAATTCCGCAGAGTTGAATATCCTTAGTCGCTGGAGTAGCAGTTGGAAACGGTCCCGGGACATAAACCGTGTAAATAGGTGGATAGGATCCTCTCTCTGCTGCTGGGTTGACCAGTAGGTTGATAATCTAGATTCTCTATGGATCCCTATATATAATAGGATCCCTAAGAAAAGATAGATCTCGTCTGTCGAAGTCTTCCTCCACTCATATATTCTAGCCCGTCTAGCCCTAGGGCCCTCCCTGGATAACGGCGCTGCATTCGTCCACTGGGCCCACTGCTCAACGAGGCCCTGTGGAACGTACTGCATGAATAGGTCAAGCGGGCTTGCCGGCAGCCCCCGTACCTCTTGGGCCCGGGCCGGTACGTCAAAGGGCCGAAAGGAACCCGGAAGGCCATGCTCGGTAGCTGGAGGTTCGTGGGGCCGCACTGTTGCTGCGTCACAGCGTTCTGGCGTACAGTCTGCATTGCAGGCAGCAATAAGGTCTTCTGGGTGGACCTCAACTATTATACAGCTGCGCACGGAAGTGACAGAAGCGTTAGACGCGATAGAGGTATCAGAATCACCAGAAGACATCACAGCATCATTCGAAATGGTAATGACAGTGGTGATAATAGGCAAAAGAACAGAGGGATAAGTGACGTATCGTCAAGTACCCCTTTCAACGCGGGGAAAAAATGGGTAAAAGTGGGTATTTCGTGGTCTTGGCGAAAGTGCTGTCCATCCGCACCCGATGGGATATTGATTTTTTTTTTTTTTTTTTTTTTGGAATACTAAAGACGCATGCTTGAATGTTGGGTTTACCTTTGTCCGCGTACCTATTTCTCGCCTAGAAACGAACAACGACTGATGTGAATATTAAATGCGCCAGTTGCACGCCTACATTCGATACAGTACATCAAGGAATTCTATTTTGCCTATCCGATCGTCGTCGTGCACAACACAACCCTGAACAGGGCATTTTCGAAGTAAACCCCATCCACTTCCCTCGAGACGCGACCGGATTCGACTCCTTTGGAGACTCGCAATCGGAACGTCACCGTTCCGTTTTTGCTTATCTCGCCGTCTTCCTTGATGTTAGCCGAGGCCACCGACGATTCAGTAGGGGGAAGCGACGAAGACGAAGTCCTCCTAGTCGGCCCGGTCTAATAGCAGAGAAGCTGGAAGGCACAAGTAAATCGCGACGCAAATGATGCATCAACTGAGGGTCTAACCCATACTTGGATTGGGTGGGAAAGTTGACTACCTCATTCGTCGTGATGACTTGGAATTACTCATTTCTATAAAGAACCCGCGTACCTCTTCCGGCTTAATAAGAATAATCTACTACCTCGGAAGGAGGAACGACGGAAGCTAAATATAATCAGTCAGGGTCCAGATTAACAGATAGGAATTGCCAGACCAGAGCATTCACGCATCCGCCTGCAATATCATGGGTGCGTGTCAACAAAATAAGCCGACACTGAAAACGATTCTTAAAACTTTTCTTAGAACAGCGTCGCTTGGCCAGAATACTGGAGGGCAACAAATGAGGACGATATCGGTGGGGCTTGGTTCATACCCCCAGACCATGTGCTTGGGGCAATGACATGGATTCCTGATCCCGGTCAATATATTCTGACGGTTTATGGAAGACGTGGTTCTAGTTGTCACAACAAAATCTCCGAAAGATGCCCTGTGTCGAATCGGTTGGTAGTTTTGGCCAGTGCTTGTCTACTTGCTCGCCTCAATCACGCAGCAGCATTGCAATTGCCAAATAGCGCTCTCGCTTGCGCGGAGAAACTTCAAAGACAGCAACTGAAGATGGGCGAATTGCTGAGTATGAAGCAGGCATCTCTGTTGGTCGGATCTTGCGCGTTGGAGCGGCAGGGCACGTTTGCGATCCCTTGCAGCCATCTTTGCTCATTCTATGGACGATTCTCGTGGTCCGTAGCGCTTAGGTACTAATGTTTGTCATGGTCAAAGGGATATCTGCCGGCGTCGCTGGCTCCCACGAGTATTTATCCGGTATACATCACAATAAAACGAGCCGGCGTAGTCTGGAAGTCTGCCACTAAGTGTGTCAGCTAAAGTACGAGAAATTGACTTACTCGATCTCCAGCGATCATTTGGAAGCGCTGGCTTCCGACCCGTTCCTTAAGCTTTGCAGAAATTCTAGATCAGGGTAGGAAAAGCTAAAATAAGTGAGCAAGGTGAGTTAATGATACCACTTTGACGTTCCGATTCAGCAGGGCCCAGACTGGCTGTTTCCGAGTAACCTAACCGGGACAAGGGGGACGTCGGCTAGCCGACGCCAGGTGAACTTCAATTGTACGACGCTTGTTCTTCTACTGACTACCCTATCCTTTGGACATGCTTTTGCAGCATCGACAGCGGCATCCGCCAGAAACGGGTTAAGTCAACCCCATTTTTCGGGCCTTCTGCAACTGTGGCTGTGGCGGGATCACTGAAACTTAAATAAGCGACGAAAAGTGTAAGAGGAGGATCTTTCTACCCAGCTCCACCACCGCCCCTTCTCTACTTCAGAATCTCCACCCAGCAATTTGGCTCTATCTGCGCATCAACAATTCGTGTCGCACCATTCTAAGCTGGCGTTCAACGGACTAGATTCTGACTACGTCCGCGTCTACCTCTCGGAGGGAGGGGAAAATCAAATTCCCACATCGCCACGCGGTCGTAAATTATGATGGCCGGGTTTTCTGCCCTCCCTCCACCAGAAAGCAGTGGCCATCAATTAATGCCATAGCGTATTCAGATGTTAGACTACGCTCGGCCTACCTTGTTCGGCACGATTGAACCGACCTTCCGTGCAAAGAAGACCAGGAACGTGGAATCAGGTGGCGTTACTCGCTCGGAGGCCCGCTACGACACTCAGTAATAAGCCATGTGATAAAGATATATACAAGCTTCGTTACATCCTTCTTCTGATTATTTCTCTCTCTCTCATTCTCTCTATCGCCGACTGATTCCCACCAACATTGGATCATGACCCCCCAGGAGCAACGTATGGACACTCTGCAACAGGATCTTTGCCGCGTGATTGTAGACCTGCTCGCGGGAATCCTGGGGGATCATTCATTCGGGAACCTAGTGAAACCGGTGCTTCGATTTGAAACTCTTATCCAGGACGGCGAGCAGGGAATGCCGCGTCAAACATCCTGCACACCCATGATTTCGGTATGTTGCATATCCATTCTAATCAACGAGGGCTGGAGCCCCTGTTTTCGCGGGTTGTTTGGCAACCGTTCAGCCTTCGTTTTCTGCCTGTGCGATTAATCTACAACGGCAATAATCACCATGATGCGGAATGAGCATTTCAGACAGAAGGAGTGGTGGATAAGTTGGCTTCGAATGTCACTGCTCGGTCTACTTCACGGCTCCTCCGTAAATGTGCCACATGAGTGGGGAGGGGGTAGCTGACAAAGTACGAGAGGGACTTATGCTAACCATCACCACCGATATACAGAAAATCTTAGACTTATCTAGCATAATTTCACAAAGCGAAAATAACAGGCTGAGTGTGGGTAATGCGAGGAAAGGAAACACCATCGGGCAGCCAACACTATCCACCTTTGGCACCCAATCGGTAATGGACGGCGTTGGCTGGCCTTCTATCCGAGCGCAAAGGACATCACATCAAGGGCTGCCGCAATTATCAACTGGGACTGGAGCCAATGCCTCATTTCAGAGATGGGGGGTCTCAGCGCTGCGATCAGATAGGAAAACTGCGGATGTGGAAGAAGAGCACCCGGAAAGTCAACGGCACACGCAGTTTACTAACGGTTTTCCTCATCCCGTAAACATTCAGTCAAACATCGTCATCATCCCGCAGCAGTCCTCCATTGACAGATTTGTCGTCAACATCTGGGAGCGGATTCACGGCTGTATGAGCTTCGATTCCCAAAATTTACTTGAACAGTGGCAGCTCGTGGCAACGGCGGCAAAGGCGGGAACGGGAAGCAGTAATGATGCTTTCAAGATTTACTTTCCTGAGCAGCTGGGTTTCGACAAGCTCCAGGCGTCGTCAGCAGAGGGCACGCTGTCTGATATTGAGATCGAAGGGATTTTCAATCGCGGTAACATTTTTTGCCGGGAAATCAC